CCCCCTCAGCCCTGCTCTCCTGGTCCTCTTGCCCAGCCTCCCAACCGCCTAGCAAAGGAGGAAGACGGTGACGGTCAGCCTCGGACACCAAATCCGACCAGCCAGCCACTGAGCAAGCCTGCAGGACCCAAGCCGGCTCCTCTGACCCCCACGAAACTGCATCCCTCTCCGTTACCCTCCTTCTCCTGTGCACTACCCTGGACCCTCCCTCCTCCACTCTCCCAAGCCTCAGCCTCAGGGCTCTCCCTACCGCAGCCAGAGGGCACTGTTTTCTGCCCAGCCTCAAAACCAGCCCCAGCCCCAGGCTCAGGCTGGCCCATCTCCTTTCCCCCAGTATAACGCACAGAGTGCGCCCCCACCGCCTCCCCCTCCCCCACCAGCACCACCTGCCTCCACAGCATATTTTCCCAGCCAGAGCCCCTCACCTGCTGGACAGTTCCCCGGGTTTAAACCTGCTGTTACCCCTTCTTACCCTCCTGGTTCTCAGCCCCTGATGCAGACTCTTCCCCACAGTGTGCACTATCAGAGTTCAGCTGCCCCACCGCCACCACCTCCTCCACCCCCACACACGATGCCCGGCCCCCACCCTGCTGCACGTCAACCTGCAGCCTCCTCCCATCCAGCAGCACCAGCTCATGCTGACAGCCGCCCCTCCTCCGCCTCCACCCCCACAGGGCCAGACCTCCCAGCAGCAGCAGCAACAACAGCAGCAGCAGCAGCAGCAACAGCAACAGCAGCCTCCCACCGGCAGCACCCTGCTTTCGCTCACCCCTCCTCCGCCTCCTCCTCCACCTCCCCCTGCCCCCTCAACCAATGCACCGATGCAGCCCCACCACTTTCAGAACTTAGGGGGGTTTCAACCGGCGTTGCTGCACCCGGGTACTGCAGCCAACCCTTCAGTGCCCCCATCCACGTACCCCCCACCCCTTCAGCAGACTGGACTGCCTCCACCTCCCCCTCCTCCCCCTCAACAGACTCAACAAGGCCAGGCCCAGGCCGGTGCCTCCCAGATGCCTTCTGGGACTCGTGGAGCCCCTGCATCCTCGACCCCCTTCCACACTTCGGGGTACCTGAGCACAGGGTGGCACTGACGGCCCTGACTGCTGTCGACCCCCGGCAGCCCCTGAGAACTCTTCCTGAGAGGGGCGTGTACCATAAGCTGTAGATGTTTTCTATGTACCTGAACACATGGCCAGTGGAAAAACAGCTGTTTGTGGGATAAAAGGATACTTTTTAAAAAAAGAAAAACAAGGACAGAAAATCTTAGAAAAAAGGACAGAGAAATAATCTTCAAGACAAACTGTATAAAAATGAAGATGGACGATACCCCCGGTGCTCATAGCCCTCTTTCTCTCTGGCCTCCTCTTGTTTTTATATATCCTTCCTGTGATGGAGAGAAAAGCTCTCTGTTCTGTGTCTTGTTTGGACTCCTGTTGTAAGGCCCCGCACTTTGTTTATCAATGGACATTCCAGCCTATACCCCCCTCCTCCTCCTTTTGTCAGTTATTGTTTTTACTTCCTCTTCTCTCTCGTCTCTTGTCGACTCTACACCATTTATTTGTTTTAATCTAGTGGCTCATTATAGCAAAGAGAAAGCTTTTTGTATAGAGAAGAAAACACAAATATTTTTTTTATTCCTCTGTCTAACAACAAATATCTGTTCACCGCTGCAGATTCAGAAAAGACCCCATTTCTGGGAGCCTGCCTCACCGCCCCGGGAGGCCCGCACTCGTGTGTGTGTGTGTGTGTGTGTGTGTGTGTGTGTGTGTGTGTGTGTGTTATAGGGTGTGGAGGTGTATGGCTGCTCAGAGGAGGAAAGTGTGTGTGTGATATTTTATGTAACGGGTGCTTGTAGTCTTCTGAGGTAGGCAGAGTGGTCTTGCCCACAGGTAGGAAGTTAGCGGTTTATTTTTGAATATCAATGGTTATTTGTAGAAAGTGTAATTTAATGTATAGGTGGTTACTCCAGCTTTCACCAGGAACAGGTTGTAAATATTTGCTTCTTTTCTTTTCTATGCTTGTACAATTTGCTCCCATCCCATTTTGACATATGGTTGTACATATGAACGCTCTTCTTGGCAAAGCTGAATGTTTCTGTGACTGTAGCATTTATCCCCCCCCCCCCCCCCCCTTCTCTCTGAAATCTTCAACTTTGTCTCTTTTTTTTTTATTATTTGTGTGTGTGAGTGTATGTTTGTGTGGAGGGGAGAGACTCACAGACACTGCACTGGTTGGCTATTTTCATGGTTCATTATAATAAATCACTGTAATGACAGTTTTATACAACTTGTCGTGATGTGTCTCTGGGAAAATTTGTGCTGTCGCCTACCCTGCCTGCTTCTTTTAACAAATGTCTGCTCAGCTTCCTGCCTTCAGGGGAGAAGACAGGAAACACTGATGGAGGGCATAAAGCGGCATCTGCAGATGTATACCTGTGAGAAGTGGTGTTCAAAGCTCCTGTTTGGTAACAGCAAATTTGTCGTTGATACCCAAACTACTTAATTTGTTGGACGTCTGCAACTGTTAAGCAGTCCCCAAGAGGCTCTTGTAAATCCATTAAACAAAGTGCATAAAAGGCAGAAAAATACCCTCACACTGCAATCTCATTCCCAATTATTCTGTTGTTGCTCACAGGCGTGGCAAAATGAGGATGGTCAAAATGCTTTCATGGGCATCTGAAGTAAAAGAAGACTTGTGAACGAGACTGTGTATGTTACAGAGGAAGTTGTAATGATCACTCTTGAAAAGAATGCAATCAAAGTAAAGGGGATATAAACAAGGAGGGGGGAGAGAGAGAGAGAGAGGGTCGGGGGAAGAATTTTAATAACTTGGCCGACAGATGTTTGAAAAAACGTATTTAGAAATATGTGAAGTACACCCACACTTTACATAACACAGTTGGAACTTAAAATAACCACGTTATAGCTGAAACAGTATTTTGATAATCAATCTTTTTATTTTATTTTTTTTAATCCAAACATTCTCTTGTATCTTTGTAAGCTGAATATCTGTTTGGAAAAACATGAATTGAGGAAATTTAAACCTCTTTCTTAATTTACACCACATTTACATTAATAAGACTAAGTTAACTTTAGCACACATTTATTCAGCTTTGAATGATGACAGCTGAGCAAAGTCTGAGGATTTACTCTAGAGTCAGAGATGTCCTAAAATGGCCACCATACAGAGGATAGCATCTTTTGATTGGAGTGCCATAATGGCCTTTTCACTGGCACCACCCCCAGTTTTAACTTGACTTTTATGTCCCACTAGTGGTTAGAATCTAGCAAAGATGTCTCCTCATTTATGAATCCATCAGTTTTTGTTGTTTGTATGTAAGAATTGAAGCCTTGTGGGACCGCTAGAATTGCTGTAGTCTTGTTGAAACAAAATTACTGACACCTCGTAGCCTCATCTAACAAAGAGACTGTGATTTTTCTGTGTTAGATGTGCACAGCCCCCTGGAGGCCGTTAGGATTCATGTGAGCAGATGGCCTTGTACACCACCGCCATTGATCCGGGAGCCTGTGTGCATGTCAGAGCTGATATTTCTATCTTGGCCGGCGTTTGTCAGTCCTCCAGGTCCTTGATGATTATGATGCCACTCCTGCCCTTCACTGTGTTTCATAACGAGGACAAGCATCACAGTCGTCGTCCCGTTTGGCAACAGTGGTTGTTTTACCTCCAGCCCTCTGTTGTTGTAAATAGCTTTATGAATCAAAGTAATTCATGAGTTTTTCCTTCAACAAAACCTCATTCTGGGCCTTTTTAATGGGTATATCATAAGCTTTTAATCCACTCGGAACAGCCAAATACAGTACACTGTCAACTTACTACGGTCTGACCAGAAATGATTACAACTTACAGCTCATCCAGTGTCTCAAAACCATTAGAATAAAGAATTTGATACAGAAATGTTTACCTGAGAAGAGCTCTAATCATCTAATTACCTTCAAAGGAGCCTTTAATCTCTGTCTGGTATAACAATATACTTTTCCACAATATTAAAATTTTTTGAGATGCATCTGTAGAATGGGCTCACACTGGTGAAGACTGGAAATTTCAAAATCACTCATATGAAGAATGTTAAAGGTAAATCAATAACTCATTTCCAAAGACAAAATAGATGCACTTTATCCTTGTTATTCTTATACAAACACAGAAATGATTAATTGTTGGACATTTAGTCATGCTGCTACAACAGCCTTTGCTCTTCTACAACTCCGTTCCCTCTTGGTAGCTGGCAGCTATCTGGAGAAAATTTGTGGAACATGTTAGAAATCTTTTTCATCTATATGGTTAGAAGAGTCTTTAAGGATTATGGAAAAATCTAGCAAGTCTTGTTAAACGGTTGGGTTTACAGATTTGATTCGCTCTGTAACTCCAATGTAATGTCAGTATATGAGAGGCACACACTGGGGTTAAGTGGTGCCCAACCTTTTTGCGCATGTTGAAGATGTCTATGAGCCTTGAACAGTCCAACCTTAGTGATTTTTCCTTATTTGTTTAAAAAAATAAATAGTTTTAGACACCTGAAAGGATAAAACCTATCCAGAATTTTACAAGAATGAAAGAATTATTAGTCAAAAGAATTTGATGAAGAAATTTGCTTTGTCATTGTCTCCTATCCTGTTTATCATCTTGTGGCCCCTTTCTCAGTTTGGGAACTACTGATCTATGTCCGTGTATGATGTAGCATACAGTGTTCTTTTATAGGAACTTAGGAGCCTAGCCCAAACCATGAAAAACCGCTCCAGACCACCAAAAGTATGTGGACGTTACACATTTTTTTATCTTGGATGTTTTAGATAAAAATAATTTTTAGCCCTTTTAAACTGCACATTTCTTGGTAAAATTGGTGTTTGTCCATTTTTATTGTCTCACACTTTGACTCCATTTCAGAGGTTTTTCATCTGGACAGACCCAGCAATATAGAGTTAAACAAAGTGTTTAACTCGTCTCAAACTCGGAGAAATAACACCCACCAGACGATGGGGAAGAAGAGTACAATGAATCCGTAGAGTCCTTCTGGTTCTTTTGGAGCAATAGTCTGTATTTTAGGTGGGTAACACAACACTCAAGCATGTTGAGGTGAAAAGAGTCCTAACACCTAAAGTAAAAGGGATGATATCAAAGGATGCACATTCACAAGGATACTTTGGCATTGTAACTCTCGAAGCAATTCTGCTTTGTAAAAGAAAAAAGGTGTTTAGTGACACATTGGGAAATATTCTCATTAGCTTTCTAGCTAAGCTTCATCCAAGAAGCTACTTATGTTAGCCGGTTAGCTTAGCCAGCACAGGGAGAAACAGCCAGCCTGTCATGTGGAAACAAATATTCTATCAGCACTGCTAAAGCGCACTAATTACAAAACTGAGGTATAAATGCAAAAACTTTCCATTTCATGGGTTAGCTAGCTATGGGCCAAGTCTAGTGGGGCCTACCACTGTTGGTTGAAAACTAAGCTGCTGGCCGGACAGGTGTGAGTGGTATCAGTCTTATCTGATACTAGCTAACTCTCCACTACAAAGCGAATAAGCATATTTCTCAAAATGTTGAAGGTATTTTTTTTTTTTTTTTTTTAAGTGTTGATCTCTTTTTTTTTTTCCCCTCATGTGTTTAACTTAACTTTTTTTTTAGCTGGGAGTCGGTGAAGAATCACAGGAAACAAAAAGATACTAAAAAGTGTTCAGCCTTAATTCATGTCCAGTTTAACTTTTCCTACACTCTTTTAGTACTCCACAATACTGTCAGATTACACGATCACTATATGGCACACACTAATAATGGACCAATAGCTTGACATTTCAAAGTCGAGACAAAGTACAGGGACATAATCAACATATCTATACACAGATTATAGACTTGATACAACTGATGTTTTCTCCTTTTTAGCTATCTGTTTAGCAAAGTTGTCACCAGCAAAACCTCTAAGTACTACCTTTTGATTCTATCACATCAAACATTTAATTATAACAAAACAGTACTGTTTTTTTCTGTTTGTTTATCCAACTTGAAATTTTCTCCAGGCCTCATTTTGCTGACACCACTCTCAAAGGTTGAACAGTGTCAAAGCCAAGCTCCTTTGCAGGGAGTTTGTTGACTGGATAAGAAAGATCTGACAGCTTTGACCTCAAGTCTGTGAAATCCTCATTTGTGTCGGCCAAAGTCTGGATAATTTGTTTTGATTTAATTCAATTTGAGCGCCTTTCGCTCCATGGTGTTTGTCCAACAAGTGTCTTGGAGCTGAATTAACACATGAAGAGTCTTTTATGGATTTTTATTTTTCCAGCTGAACCTGTGCACTGGAGCAGCTTTTACTCACATCCACATGGAGAACATTTTAGTTTTAACAGCTCGGGTAAGATGATGCAGTGACATACGAACACAGGTAAACTTTGAAAAAGTCTTTAAGAAATCATCCTGCAAAAACAAGCAGTTTCAGATGAATGAGAAGGCTATTTTACAGAGGGGGCTTTCAGAGAGGAAAATTAAGATGCATCGTGATCTCCTCCAAGGTTGCGTGGCCCCTTCCAGACATCCTCTCCTACTTTGATCTGTTCTTTCCCCAAACATCAGCTCTCCATCTCAGCCACAGGTTGGACCAGAAGAGGGATGCTGGATCCTGAAGTAACATCACGTCTAGGCAGTGAGACCTGCAGACAAGAAGAAAAATGATGTAGAATCTGCAGGAATTTGTGTAGTTTAGAATGAATATTATAAATCAGTTATTCCCACTGGTTTGCACTACATCTGCCAATTTCTCTAAAAATTTAAGAGTAGGTGGGAGCCCCATGGTGTACTTACTCCCATGTCATCCAATTATTGTACATATCAACATATATGCTTTTGAAAAATAAACACTCTTGTGCTCTTAAACAATGATTATTCCCTTAAAAGGAGAATGCAAACGCATCTCTATTGCTGTCATGCAGAAAATGTACCTCTAACGTGTCACTTTTCTTCTAATCAGTATTCAAATCCATGAATTCAGCATCAGCTAAATTAAACTGAATTAAATAATGCAAATTCAGATTATGAAAGGCACTTGCAGATAAAGAACAAATACATGTTGATATGCTAAATCTACCACTATATTAGGTGATTATAATTACTGGAGTGATTATTAGTGTTATTTTGTTTGAATATTTTACGCACTGATTTATGTAAATTAGGTTCAAAAATGAAAATGAACAAGTCATTACATGATTATGAATATTATTATTGTGATTACAACTGTTTTCTGATAGTTGTATTAATTATGACGGATTGCTTAAGGAGCATGTGGTTGCTTTAAATTCCTTGAATCACACTCTGGTGGGTCATTCATTACAAACGCATGTTGTGCAGTCAAGCTTTGTTCAAACTCACAGAACTTAATTTTAAATTCTTGTGAAGACCCCAAACTTTCCAATGATACCAAGTATGTCAGGCAAAATATTGGGGAAAAGTGTATATAAGGATGCATAAGACATTTATGATATATAACAAGGCACAGCCATTACAAAACATGTAGTTTAGGGTTTAATGTTTCACTCAGTGTAAACATCATAGCTTTGATGAGTGGTTGGAACCAAGGCTGTAAATGCCTAAGTCCTACAAAATTACACACAGATGACTCATTATGGGGTTTTAAAGGCTGGTTCTAACATTTTCTTTCATATAATATTTTTTCAAGCAAAAATAAAATTTCAGTAACTTAAGGATTTAGTAGTAGTCCTGGGATACTGGAGAAGGATTTGAAAGATCTTTTCATCATATAGCAAGATACAATTGACTGAAAATATAACTGAACAGACAAACAGTGTGAATTAGATTATTCTTTTCAACTTTAAAGCCACTTATAGGGGAAATAAAAGAGTGAACTGGATGTTAAGGGGCTAAAATTGGTTGTAATGGAAAGAAAAGCTCATAAGATGCATGATTATTATTTTAAAAAGCATGAATATGTAACTTGAGCTGATCGGTGGACATTGTGGGCAGGTAGAAGATGAATGTGTATTGTTTTCCTATATTTCCCAGGATTCTCTTCAGTCAGTTGCTTTAAAAACACCATCATTAGGTGACCTGACCTGAGAGTGAGTGAAACAGGATTACAAGCTGAAAATAAAGTCAGCAAATTGAACCAGTAATGTCTGATACATGCCAAAATGTCTGTCTGTCTGTTTAAATTTATAACATTAGCCACCACAAGCCACTGGTCATACCAGACCAGGTAAGGCTTTAATACCCCTTAGAGTTTAGAAAAGAGCAAGGATTTACTTTCAGAAGTTACATAGTCTCAGTTTAAAGGCCCTCAAAACATAGGTTCTCAATAAGCATTGGCTTTTAGCTGAGGTTTTGAACGTATGCTTCTTAATAAATTATGAATAAGAATGATTTCCCAAGCTTTCCCAAAATATATTATAGAAAAATAAATGAGATCTGAAACCAACTTTTCAGGGATTTTCAAGTAAATAAAAGGGGAAAACTGCATGTTAATGGGGATAAAGTGGGCTGAAATACAAACAAATTTAATGAAAAAGGTACAGTGGTTGAAGGATCAAATTAAGGATTGATGTTACTGATTTTCTCGCTGTTGCTACAGGCAACATATTACATTCAAATATGATCCTTACCTGTGTGTATGTGACTGCTCTACCATTACCAGATATTATATGGCATTGTTACCGCTCTCTGTGGGGGGAGAAAAGAGAGAGAAACCACTTCAGTGTGGAGAGGATGTGGAACATTTCTTTTAACCAGCAGGTGGCAGTATTACATAAAACATCTTCTCCTCGGAAGGAACCAAGGCTGCATGAATTAAAACAACCCACTGATGTTTCTAACTTGGACAGGTGTCACTATCCATCCTCCTGAGTGGCAAGATACGAAAACATCCCATTTAAACTTCATCTGCTGTTTGATGAATCCCCCACTTTTCACTTTCATTCTCATATTTCATGTAGCCTACATCTGCCTCGCGTCCTCTCTCATCCTCTTCCTCGGCTCATTATACCTCTCTCTCTCTCTTCCCCTCTGTCTTGTCCTTTCTCTCCGGTCTCTAGGTTGATAATGGCTTCTTCCTCCCAGTCTTTTTGCTTATACGAGCTAACAGGCGACTGTGTCCTGGCTGATAGGGTGGCTGTGATTCATTTAGACAGGCTGGCAGCAAACTGTGTAAACAGCCATTAGTAATTCATGACTCTGTCCAGCTTCCCCAGGCTTCAATTAACCCTTGCACACTTCCTCTCAGTCATCCATCTTTCTCTGTCTGCGTTTCTTCTCTCACTGCTTTTCAAGTCCGTAGCCTTTCATCTGTATTCTCCTCTTCTTCCTACTCCCTCCTCCCTGTTTAAATCATTCTCTTTGGGTCCGAGTGCAGTTGTCGTCTCGCCCAATCAAGTAAGAAAAACCTCATTGGTAACAGAAGCAATCAAAAGCAGCTGGATAGGTGGTGTCTAACATCCATCGAATGCATGCACATTATTAACTTGAGCATTTGTAAGGACGGAAATAAGGTTTTTAATTTCAAGCTGCCAGTGTTGTGTGGTATGGCAGCCAGAATCAGGTGGTGTCTTTGATGTGTCTCATTATTGTATTGGTCTTTTAATGGGAAGGCCAGCTAAGCCCAATAACGTAGCAGAGGTGTGGGTACGAGCCACAAATCGCAGAGAGAGACTTGCAGCTCACTTTGACTTTGCTTGGACTCGAGCCTCATAACTTAAAAGACTTATAATACACTCCCCAAGCCAAAAGTGGAATAAAATCTTGGCTGGACTAGCTGCATATTAAAACACATAGCAGACTTTCAGGCCAGCGTTCAAATAGATTTTTTAATAAGTTTAGTGACACTTGCTTTGTTTTGAAAATAGCTTGGGCCTCATTTCAGATAATTGCACTACAGCTTCTTTTTTATATGCATAAATTACTATGAAATGGGTTTTGAAAAGTAAAAAATGTACTATTACTCTTTTGGAGTTTCCATTTTGAAATGGCAGTGAAGAATGGGTTATGACCTGTACTAGTTCAGGGGTTTCCAGCCTTTTTGGATTATGAGCCTTTAAGGCAAAGCAATGTTTACTCACAACCTTTTGTCACAGGTTGTATATATCTACAAATTGCAAGTGCTTCAACCAAAGAGCAATGTTCCCCTCTCAGAATGATTTATTTGAGGCATGAAATGGTAAAACTATCTAGTATTTTAATACATTAGAGACAAGTCAGCAAATACACATTTTCTTTGTGTATCAAAAACCAATTGTGGCCCTTCAGATTGACATAGTACTGTACTGTTAGACCATAAAATCTGACTAAATATAAAAAAGTTTTTTACAAAACCTTTTTTTTCTCCTCTCAGACCAAGTGCATTATTCCAAAAAAGTGCATCCTGCAGTCCAACCTGCGCCACCCTTGTCTACCCACTATGAGTCATGAAGGCCATTATCCTCTTACTGTCTCCCAGCAGCTCCTCAGACATCAGACTGTCCTGACGGTTTCCCAGGACGAAGGCGAGGAAGGAGAGGATGAGCGCGTCCATGATGCCCATTATGGCAAGGATGTAGGCCCAGCGCACCGAGCAGGCCCCCAGCGTGTACTTGTCCGTCTGCTCTCCACACATCCGCTTCACCTCGTCGCTGTCCCAGCCATCCGGGTAGATCATGCAGCCCAGAATCAGACATGTACCTGGATCAGTAGAGAAAGATGGGTTAGCGTTTAAGGGCTTAACTTAGGCACTTTATGTTGGTTTGGGACTCTCTGTGAACCTAAACCTATAAACTATGCAGATATGAAGTGTACAGTGCACTTTAAACTTGAAGTATACTTAATAAAATGCTAATTTCTAGAGGGTGTAATTAACGGGGTGACAGCAGCAGTGCACAAATGGGACACAGAGGTGAGGAAGGAGGCCGAAAGCGAGAGAATATACCACATGTCACAGCACCATGTGGTGAGTCGGGCGCCTTTATTAGCCGTCTGCTGCATGGCTGACGAAGACAGACTGAGCTGTTAGAGAGCAGAGTCATCTAACAACACTTCTGCTGGCAGTAGGGAGCTGTTTCTCACTCACTCACTTACTCACACACAGTGAGTCGAGGCAATCAGATGAATTACGGGTCTGAGAGGTCTGTGTTTATTTGTTGACAGTGCTGCCAAACGCTGTCTGAATGTCAAAGGTTTTGTGTGTGTGTGTGTGTACGCCTTTTTACATTTTTTTTTACATTTTGAGTTGTAGATCATGAGAGTAAGTGTGTTTTTTTGACAGGCAGGCCACATGACTACAGAGTTATAGTTTTAAGGGTAAACATTAGAGTCAGGTTAAAGTTAAAAGGGGAACTCCTGATATTACACATGAAGTCTCCTGTGGCTTTGGAAAACATTCCTTATGATGACTATACAGTTTATAATAAAAAGCCTGCCTTGCAAACTGAAGGCATGTAGTTTAAAAGAAGTGGGGATTTACCAAGCAGGGAGGGTTTATGGGAATTGTAGGATCCAGTGTTTTTGGAGCTTGACCTATACTAAAAGTCAGGATATCTCAGCATCTGCTGTCACCTACCGCTCTGATGTTGAGCCAATATAATAGAGATATAAATAATAAATATAATAAATAAATAATAATGATAATAGAGATTTGCCACCTTGCAGAGATTCTGCTATACTGTTTTGACCAATTTCACTGATCTCGATCATCCAGTTATTGTAAACTCATGCCGTGTAGCCAAGAGAAATTCATTTTAAATTCAAGTGAAGATTGGAAAGTTTTCAAAGATTCCAGATATATGAAGCTGAGTTTGGGGGAAAGGGTATAAAAGGATGCTCAAGGAATATTTCCTAGAATATTTTTGATGGAATGGTGCAGTCATATAAAAGAGAAGTCTTGGGTATGAATATTTCAACATTTTAAAGCTTCGAATGAAGAACTGGAACAAGCCGATAGAGACGATAACATGATACTGTCAGACAGTGTGGAATAGGATAATTTTTTTAAACCTTAAAGTTGGGAATGAAGCACCAAAGTGTTGAAGTGTCTTGATATGTCATAATAAATAATCATAATTTAATTCAGACATGCCAATGACAAAGACAAACATTTCTCAATTGAATCTCCAGGGAGTTAATTCACTCAATCAATCAACATACGTGTGTCTCTTTATCACAATAAAGGTCAGACAAGTCAGATATTCAATGTGTGGATCACTTACATGGCATGTTTTAAAGCAGCCTCATTTACATAAGACAACTGTGGAATTACACATGAAAGTGGTGTTTAGCAGTCATGGGAATGTACTGATAATAACTTAAAAAAACTTAGAAAACTTTTGTCATAATGTTCTTCTGCTGACTAAAAACTGATCACACACAAGGGATGTAGCTGTGCATGTTTTCTCTATTCTGTCCCATAACAAAAAAGCAGCACTGAGCCAAGTAGATTACATTTATAAAAGGGTAAACATGTCGTTGCTAATAAAAACAATATAAGGAAATGTATTTACAACAACCCAATGTACAGTGTAGGACTGAAGTTGTGATGATATGGGCGAGTGAATGCATTATCTCATTCAGGTGTGGAAGAAGTATTCAGATCCTTAAATTAAGTAAAAGTACTAATACACTTATACACACACTTGAAATACCCTATTACAAGTAAAAGTCCCGCATTGCTTGTTTTGTCCAATCAACAGTCCAAACTATTTAAAATAGCTAAATAATAAAAATAAAAGTAGAAGAAGATGGAGCCATGAAATTTTTTGCATTAAAAATGGCTTAAACAATTATCAAAATAGTTGGCAATTAATTTTCTGTCAATTGACTAATCAGTGGATTGATTAATCAATTCAGCTGTGCTTGTATATTGGGTAGTTTAATTTTTACCAAAACATATTTTATGAGCTCTTCATATGTTTTGTATGCAAAAACTCCCCGCTGTGCCCTCCCCTCCCCTCCCTTTCATGTCAGTTTTTCCGTTGATCCCTCTCACAATTGTACGAATAACAGCAGCAACAAGCTAATGTAATAATAACTAGTATTAATGTAAAAGCGCTCTAATCCATATCCTACGCCTACATTTCCCAGGAGGCACTGAGTGTATTGACTTTCTTTGCAGCTTTCCTTAGTTAGGAGATCAATTTTCTCTAAGGCAAAGAAAAAAACAGTTTAAAGCAGCAAGAAGTTGTTATCAATACATTTCTTTACATTATTTTTATCAAATGCAACATGTTCCCTGTTACAAATCTATTTTTTGACTCGGTGATCCCTTTTCTGCAGGGGCATAATGCAGAGGAAGTGCTCATCAGACAGTTTTCTTAACTACTTTTTTCATCTGTTTTTGACACAGATTGTATGTCTTATTATTTAGATCCCAGGACAAATTTCCAATTCCACTTACACTCAGCCTGTGATCATGAGTCCAAATTTGCACACCATGCCAAACCCCTAAACACCAAAATAAAGCTTGAAAGAAAGCACTCGAGAATGTAATCTGTGAAATTCACAAGAAAACATTTGGTGTTTCTGTATTTGACAGTGATAAGGAGGATTTGTCAACAAAGATGAGATATTGTTACTTTTCCAGGACTGCTTGGTTTGTTTGTCAACAGTTATTCTTCCTGGGGTCCATATAAAAATACGACAATAACAGCTGCACTCACATAGACATTAACTCAGCTTATTAGAATGACATGATATACTGTACAGCAACTACTACTCGCATGGCTGCAGACTATTAGTCTTGATGATATTTGGTGTTTAGTGCTAATATGTTACCATGCCAACATTCTAAACTAAGATGGTGAACATGATCATCATTATACCTTCTAAACATCACATTAGCATTGTCACTGTGACTATGTTAGCATGCTAGCTCAAAGCACTGCTGTGTCCAAGCACAGCCAGGCTCTTGGTCTTTTATTTTAATTCAACAAAAATACTGTATTAACCAGTTTTATTATTTATTTTTGACACAGCTTTCATCCCTTTTGCATCAGATCCCAGTCAGCATATGATCATGACAAGATTGAGTACAAAATGATTATTATTATTAATTATTATTATTATTTTATACAAGCAGTTAAAGCATCTTTAGGAAATTATTTTTAATGTTCATAAAACACTAAACCTTTACTATGTCTTCTATGGCATATTAATTAATATATTAATTATTTCCTTTTAGGCACATTAGAGGATTTGGTACAGTGCACACAGTTCTCTCCTGTGTAAACAACCTGCCCCTGCAGGCTTTATAGCTATAATATTACTGGAATGAGTTGAACCGCACAATGTCTCAATGGCAAATCTTAAATCTCCTACAGAGCTGGAATCAAAGAGAAATATAGTTGAACAAAGAGACACCAAGTCTGTCTTTCTGACTCTTATCTGAATGCCTCAAGATGTGAATTTCTGTGCCATGGTGGTTCAGGCTTCAGCTCCCAGTAGCTGCAAGTGTATTGCCACAACAGCCCAAATGTATGTCCACCTGAAGGTAAATATGCTGTCTTTGTAAACTTTTGCGTGAAAGCACAAAAGAAATGTAACGTAAATCCCACTTCTTCTCTCTGACAGATCTCATCATCATCCTTTTAGCTGCTGATCTTTAATACCTAAACAATTCCTGCAAAACACTTTATTTCTGTTTCAAAAATGTACTGAATCTAATCTTTTAGCTTCAGCAGACATGTAATTTCTTTTACTATGTGGTTATCAGCAAAGCTGAAAAAGCTCAGACTAATTGCTTCCATCCCCAAAACTGCATCCAAATGTGAGGAGGCTGAGGGCAATCTTTTATCTTTGGCAAAATTGTTTTGTTTTTAGGCTTGCACAGAAAGGTCGTGTAGCTACAAATAATCCTACAAATAGCATTCAGCTACTATATAACGAGTAATAATATAAGGGGCAAGCCAATGGGGTCAGCTTCTTCATCTCAAGATCTCTGCTGCACTCCTCATCACAGAGGGAAAGCAGCAGTCTGCACACAATCCCTGCCATACATAATTAAAGATATTATGAAACCCTCCGATGAGGAATCATGTGAGCTCATTTTGAGACTTCAAATCGCCCCAACCTAAAAGCTCAGGATAACATGTGGACTCACAAAACAGATCTGAGTTTGTCTGTTTGTAACATTCAATGCTTCAAATGATTTAGGTCGACTGAAAAATCGAGCTCACAAGCTGTTCAGAAATGTTTACAAGAGGCTTCATAAGTAAAGGCTTTATTCAGAATGGTAGCATTTCAGGAGATGGGTAGTAACAAGCTAAAGTATTAGGTCAAGTCAATATTGAAGAGATGAAATATTCTGGATTTATCGACAGAAATGCAACTACAAGTTGCTCTTTAAGTAATTTATTAGGTAAAAACACCAAACATTTGCAGGCTCCAGGATTTCTCTGTTCTATGTTGTTTTAAATTGAATATCTTTGGTTTCTGGGCTGTTCAACAATCAATTTGAAGATATCACCTTGAGCTCTGGAAAGTCGTGATGGACATTTTTCAGTATTTTGTGACATTTTATAGACAAAATAAGTAAAAAACAATAGTTTTGGCTGTAAAAAAACTGGAAAGACACTGGAAAGTTTTATTGCACTGTTGATGCACTTGAACCATCTTTCCACATGGAGGTCAGAATAAGTTTGCCATTAAAAAGTTTCTCCAACATCCCCATAACTATTATGAATGCCCTTGATTTC